CTCTAGTAATGCATAAGCAGAGCAAACGTTTGTGTGTGTGGGCAGAATCAACAAGTAGATTCTTGAGTGGGTGTGAGAGAGTGAGAGAGGAGCGGTGCTACTGCGCTGGAGGCTTAGTCTTCGCTCATTCTTTTTTTGCTTTTCCTCTTCTCCTCTGATCATACTGCTGCGGTTGGGCTCATTGGAAGTACATTGGAAAGGAATTTCTTTTGGTTTCTCTTTCCCCCTTCCCACGCCTGTTGCAAAAGCAGTGAGAACATGTGAAATCTGCTTTAAGTCGATATTTGCCATTAACTTTTAATTAAATACGGAACACCAGCCACCTTGCCCACTCCCAAAGAGCCTCCACTGTAAATATCCCGCATACATATGTGGTTAAATCTTTTATATAGAATCTTTGGTTAGGGGGTATATTAGATTTATGGTAAAAGTGGATGTGTGCAACACAGAGAAGGAAACGTTTCCGACCTCATAAAGTATATATGTATATTCTTGGCTTATTCATTTTTAATTGACCACAGTAATGCTGCTCTGTTCCGGTATCGCTTATAACTTTTAAAATCTCTTGGCATTTGAACACTTGAACCAAAGACTCTATAACACAAGTGAAAAAGTTAATTGAACTCTTGTTCGCTTATTAATTTAGCCAGCTGATATAGGCAAAGGCCCCACTGTGCGAATGTCATGCACATGCATGCGCAGACGAAGCCGTTGGGCAGCGGGTTCGCGGTAAAGAGACGAAGCATCGCCGAAAATCGCCTCTGTCTATGAAGAGTAGCGATAAGCCCCGCCATAGAACCGGTTTTCTGGTCGCTCATTCAGAATCTTGTTATTGTATAGTCTTTGGTAGTACATTGCATGTACATATGTATATACGATACGTACATATGTATGTCAGGGATGAAGTCCAGATTTTACATACATATGTATACATGTATGTATGTATATGCACCATAGTTAGCAAATATATTCTTGATTTTGTGGTCCGGCCCCATGGTTTCGATTATATTTTCTGTTCCAAAATGGTAATGAAGGATTTAAAAATATTATTATCGATATCTATGATATAATAAAGTTTGTTTTATGCAATTTTAATGAAATTTGATTTTTTTGAAATAAATATATTTCTGTTGTTCATAAAAATTTTCGATTATTAAATAATACATTCGAAGTTTGGAACTTTTTTTCCAGGATCCAAACCGTTTCTGATAGATATGGAGATTTAAAATTTTTTAAAGAATTATGTTTTCCAGAAGCAGTTTTGACAAACCATTTTTTTTTTTTAATTTTTTCAGAGGAAGCGCTTGTCACTAACTCTAGTATTTACGTCTGGTTGTAAGAACTTAGCTATTTTGAAGATTTGAACAGCTAGTTGATGCCAAACACTTTGTGATTTCAGCTTACCGTCTGGGAATATAGCATTGTGCAAAGTGATTTTTGTGGGTTTTACGAAATTTTGACTTTAAAACTGCGAAAAAAATTTGGATTTAATATGGAAAAATGAACAAAATTTTGGGGTTGGCCCTGCCAATTGGGAACAAAGCAAACGAACAAGGGTTGTACATTTGGTACCTGATCGCGTTCCTTTGTTCCGGTGGTAGTGTTTTTGTTCATTTTTTCCATATTTTAGGTTTGGTTCGAATTTTAGCTCCAAAGTCTCTCCATAGATTTTAATGAGCGATACCTTAAACGACGCCAAATAACGCACCTATACACAAAAAATAGGGACACAAGTATAATTTTTTTTCACTTTCTGGTTTTTAGTCAAATTTCGTACCGCACACATCATTTGCATTTCAATGCTTTATATTTCCCAGACGTAAGCTGTCGTGATCAACTTAGCTGTTTCAATTATCTTTTCAAAATAGCTAAGTTCTTTACAGACGTAAGATACTGGTTATGTGAAAAAACAAGCGTACTCTGAAAGCTTAAAAAATACCAGTTTTCAAAATTCTTTAAAAAAAGTTCTGCCATAGAAAAAAAAATATCATCAAACCATTTCTAAGCCCCAAATCTTTAAGAAAAAGTTCGTTTTGTTCCTTGAGGAAAAATCGTGTTGACTGGTTATTAAATAATACATTCGAAGTTTGGAAACTAGAACCACAGTTCCAAAGTTCTAATTTCTGGACATTTTCTGTGCAAAAAAAATGTCCAGAAACATTTTAAGACAAACCAATTTTTCTATTTTAACATATAAAAATTGAACACATTAAAATTCAAAGAAAAACCTTTTTATTTTTCAATTTTTAATTTTAGTTTTTAAATTTTTATTCAGACCTTCAGTCATCAACTAATACTAATTTCTACAAGCGAATCGAATTACACATGCATATGACCGAAGTGTGCACACGATGAACAACTCGTCGACTCCCATTTTTATTTTAAGTCAAAGGCAAAACTGTAGAGGTAACAAAAAAAAATCTTCCAGAACCAAAGACTCTATAACACAACAAGATGCGTAACGAGGAAGAAAAAAATGTATGACAGCAGCACAATTTTAAAAGAAATCTAAATCCACGCTAAAAATTTCGTGTGCTTTTCAGCAGTATGGTCGTTACGCATCTTGTTGTGTTATAGAGTCTTTGCTTGAACACTTGAACACTCTTATTACTTTTGTGGTCAAACCGAAGGTTTCTTCAGCTTATCTTATATGCAAAGCCATAATCAAATTAAATATTTATTTATTTAAGATAACATTTGAGGCAAACAAACCAACAGCCACAGCACGTCGATTAGAAAACAAACTAAAACCCAAAATGAATATCATTCGAAGCACGTTTTAAAAAATCACGTTTTAGCATGCAAATTATACTCAATTTAATATATACAAAAACTATGTGTGGGTCTATATATTTTATTTTAAGCTTTTAATTTAATCGATTTTATCATTTTTAATTAATTCACTATTTTAATTATAATCAAGTTTTTTCATGTATATTTTATTTAAATAGAAATAAACAAGAAGAAAGAAATGCTTACTTATTTTTTTTAGAAGAGAAAACATTTTGTGGCGTTGATGGCAATGAGCCAAATTGAATAAAAACGTTTCTATAAAAATAAACAATAAGAAGTGCAATGGCCACCAAAATGCGCCACGAATCAAATTGATGATCAACATCTTAACATGAAAAAAACAAACTGAAAAGGGAAGTTCGAAATCAATACTCATACGGAAGATTTTTTGTGGTTTTTGTTGACCAGATATTCGGACAGAAAAGTTTCGGGCGAATAATGCATAAAGAAATATGTACACATGTACATATACATATGTATGTACATATATGCATATCTCGCATTCGGAATCATGTGACAACGCCGCACTCCATCTTCCTTCACGTTCGGTCCGATCACCAGGTTAATGATGTTACATGATTCTTAGAGACACTCCAGTATATTGGATTACGGTTATCGTACATCATGTGTACATCAAAAGGAAAATTAAAAAACCCAAGGCCAAAGTCATTCGTGCGATTTTTCACTTTTGTTTTGCTGCATACATACTCGTGTATTCACACTTTTGGCAGCAATCAGACTGATTGTTGTTGGTGCTGGCTTCTCTGTTTGGCTGATGCTCGTATAGTTCTTTATATCGTTGAAGTCTTATTCAACCCTTTTATCTAACCATGTTTTTCCTGTTTTGAATTTAGTGGGCTTATCTTTGAGCCGGTCCTTTGATGCCTCGACACATCCCATAGGCAAATTCGCAAGGGTGTAGTTTCTTCGGTGTTGCGAAAAAATTCTTTGATTCCTGCGTAGTAACTTTTCGTTTGGGCAACCAAGTCCGCAAGTTGAAATAAAATGCATGGTGCATGCCAAATGTGCAATCGAAACTAAATGAGGAGGATTATGGTCGCTGCGGGCAATACGCTGCAGAAAATGTAATTGGCACATAGCGTACATACATACATACATATTTACATTAAGTTGATTGAAAAGAGAGACTATGAGAGATTTTACATAGGGTCCAAAGAGAACGAAATTTGAATCACAAACTCCCTGAATCTAAATAAACAGTATCACAGTCCCTTGTCCTGCAGTGGTATTCGAAGAAGAGACTCCCGGCAGTGCATCTGCAGACGCTAATCAGAGTAACCCACAAAATTCGCAGCCACTCACTTACGAATGAATATTTGCACATACATAAGTACGAGTATGTATTGCAAATAGGCGTCAAAATAAAGCTTGTCTTTGGCTCGATGCCCGTTCCTGGCTAGGTGACTTCTCTTGGTTACTGCAAGCAGAGTTACTCAAAGCGTTATTTATTATGGCCCCATGAACAGCAGAAGAGTAATCCCAGTAGGTGTCTCAGTCCTGGTCCGCACTTCAGCAGAAAACACACAGTGCACATGCAAATGTTTTATAGTGTCTCTGTCTGTTTTTTATTGTGTTTTGGATTAAAAGTGGTGTGAGAAAACTGGTTGCTGTCCCAACTAGCATTCTTTTCATGTCTCACCCAACCACTTTTCAGTGTCAGGCGCACGCCTACGCTTCTGCCGTGCCTTGCCCTTCAGCTTCATCCTGGCCACCCATATACCGCTGGCGGGGCCAACAGAAATGCATTTAATTTCTCAGTCTCTGTGCATATTTTGAACGGTTTTGGCCTTCTAAAGGCGTTGAAATTTCAGCGCTATCAAATGACCGAGAATGGCGGTGAATTAGGTAAATTTACAATTACAATCCATGGGGCGAGAACCTAAATGTTGTCATTACGTTTAAATACTTAGTTTCTCCAGTAATACTTGGATAAACGACAACTAAAGCTTAATTCTAAAATGATCATTTAATCGCAAGAGAATTTCCAGTGGATTTTAGTGCGCAGTACTGATAAGGCCTTATCGTGCTAGAAAAAAATAACAATACTAAAATAGGCGCTCATAAATGAATGGCCGATCGTCGACTAGAGAGAGTTTTTGAATAGACCGCTTATCTCCAGATAAACACTGCCCTCCAGTCTTTTAGCCAAAATGAACATTGTGATTTCACGTTTTTTTTCATTTTAGTTGCCAATTGATCTTGACCGAACGCGGTGACAGACAAATGCCGCGATTTGATTAGCAATACCGAAACAGCTGCAGAATTTGTTTACGTCATGTATTTACGACACATGAATTCACTGGCTTGCCTGGCCCTCCTGCTCGGTGGTACCCTGGTAACTTCCATGTCGATTGCCAATCAGGATACTTCAGGATACAATCAGGACCTACAGCGATACTTTAGACCAGCCAATGCCACGCACACCTTCGCCAGCATGGAGGAGCGGATTTCCGTGGATGTCTACAACTACGCTTTTCTCAACTGGTCATATGTGGACCATGGGAACACGCTGTGTGAGACGGACTTTGCCCAGGAGCAGGCTCGTTATGGAGAGGGCCGGGTGTTGAATGTAACTGGCCGTTTGATCCACATCAGTGCCACTGACAACGTTAGCGATGACTACGCCTGCACGCCCTATATTCGGGGAACTATGGGCGCCCCCATGCCTGAAAAGGGAGTGGTCTGGATTGCTTTGGTTAGACGCGGCCGTTGCACATTCGAAGAAAAGGTTAAGCATGTCTATCAGCAGAACGCCGCCGGTGTCATTATCTACAACGACAAGCAGGTGATGCAGCTGGAGAAGATGCAGATCAAGGGCAAGACGCGTAAGTTGAAGGTTTTGTAGTACAGGCCCTAACAGTCGGAATACATTCTTATTTTTGTAGGAAACATTGCGGCTGTGATAACGTATCAAAATATCGGACAAGATCTTGCAATGACTGTTGATAGAGGATACAATGTAACCATATCCGTAATCGAGGGACGCCGTGGTGTACGAACTATCAGTAGTTTGAATCGGTAAGTTCCTTAAGTTACAAAAAAGAATAATGAGATTACGCTTCACGTAATATGGAGACGCCGGGGTTTGAACCCGGGACTTCTCACATGCGAAGCGAGCGCTCTACCACTGAGCTACGTCCCCATGAAATTGTCGGCTGATCAAAGCAATTGTTCAACTGGGACTCAATTTGTTCGCAATTCAAACAATATTGCTAAGCGCTGGATATCCAAAACTCCACAACAAAATGGGGTTGTCAAGAACAAACCCATTATATTTCCCAAAATTAATTATTACACTTAGACAATAAATGTAATTAAATAATTAGAAGTCGAAAAAAAAACAGAAACTGTCGGCAGAAATTGGAGACGCCGGGGTTTGAACCCGGGACTTCTCACATGCGAAGCGAGCGCTCTACCACTGAGCTACGTCCCCTTGCATTCGACATCAGACAAACGTGCTATTAGGGTCCAGAGAAGTCTCAGGCACATTGCCACCAGAAAAATTTCCCTTTCAAATGTTATTTTGGCTGGCACCATCTATGCTTGAAATTTTATACACATTTGCCAAAAAAAATACTGAAAAAGGAATTTATTTTCGTATTATACGACCGATTCCCAATTGATATTTGTGGCTCATGCTACGACTCGTACACACTCTTTCGACACGAATTCGTTATTATTTAATGCATTACAGTATACAAAAGCTGAAATGCATTAAAAGAAAAATTAGGTATTCCTTTAAAACAGAACACTTTGAATATACAAAAAGACGATTTTATTTGTATGGAGACGCCGGGGTTTGAACCCGGGACTTCTCACATGCGAAGCGAGCGCTCTACCACTGAGCTACGTCCCCATGGGCCATGCGATTGGAAAAGGCTGTACTTGACAGCAGCAAAGTTCTGCTTTATCGATTTGAGCTGGCATTGGGTTTCATTTTCGATTCTCATATTAATTCCATATTTTTCCATTTCAGTACTTCAGTGCTATTCGTCTCCATATCATTCATCGTTCTGATGATAATATCGCTTGTGTGGCTCATTTTCTACTATATTCAGAGGTTCCGTTACATGCAGGCGAAGGATCAGCAATCGGTATGGGAAACCTCCTCTGCATTTTTTGTTTCCACATACGTTAACGTTTTTCTAACTTTAGCGCAATCTGTGCTCCGTTACCAAAAAAGCCATCATGAAGATTCCAACGAAGACGGGAAAAATGAGCGATGAGAAGGACCTGGACAGCGATTGCTGTGCCATATGCATTGAAACGTACAAGCCCACGGACACAATCAGGATATTACCGTGCAAGTAAGAATCCCATCTGGAATTAACCCAAAGTAAATATTAATCTTATTTAATTAATTCATTCTCCTAGACACGAATTCCATAAGAATTGCATCGACCCGTGGCTAATCGAGCATCGAACCTGTCCGATGTGCAAACTAGATGTGCTCAAATTTTATGGCTATGTGGTGGGTGATCAAATCTATCAAACACCCAGTCCACAGCCGCCCATTGCTGTTGTCGCCCAGCCCGCCATTGAGGAGGCCAGCAACATGAGTAGTTTTGGTGCTAGCTATTTCCATCAGCGTAGTCGTAGTCCTAGTAGTATTAATCATCCACAGTTGCAGCAGCTTCCGCAACAACAGCAACATCCGCATCAGGGGGCTATGGAGCGCGTCCGGGTCCGACGGAACTCAGCTCCAGCTACGATCCCGAACGCCATAATTTGTACTGCCAGCCATCAGGTGACTGATGTTTAAGATGTCAGCAATCCACACACATCTAAGTCTAAGATACTACTTAACGCCGTGAGCGGTTAGATTTGATTATCATAAAACCAGACCAATGTTCATAACTTTTTTTGTCAGGGCCCTTGTATTGTATTTTTATAGCAAAATGGAAGGGAAACAATTGGAGCGGGCACAAATGCAACGTACAAGCTGCTAGTTGAGAAAGAAATCGAGAAAGCGTCATCAAGACGCAACTGTCTATTAATTTTAAATAATTTATGAAAACACATGTTGTAATATGAGATTTTGTAAGTAAAAAAATGAAAAAAATTAGGTATTCTTTTATAAAATTGGTGTGAAACGATGTTGTTTTACAATGCCCGTTATCAAAGTAACCACAGGAATGAACGGCAGAGTTGCAGTCAGCAGAAAATCAATAATGATTGATGTTAGCCCTGATAAAAACTTTGAGGTCGTGAAAAAGGCATTTGACCGGACAAAGCTTCGAAACAGTATACTCTGTTCTGCTACATCCGAATCTATCAGTTGCTGATTGAGAGTAACACAAAGGCTTTATTTAAAATGATATTTACATACATTTCCTCTCGTTTGTAAATAAGTTAATTTGAGAACAGTGTACTTAAAAATCATGACAGAAAGACTTCAATTTTAGTTTGTACAACAATCCCATTGTGTAATCAATACAAATTACCGCTGGAAGTTCAACTTGAAAACGGAATTATACTTTGATCACGTAGAGTTTTAAGTTTAATGCTTAAGTTTTGATTAAGCGTACCGATTGTCGATAAAAGTAGATGAAAAGAATAACATAGGGTAAAATACTTACGAGTACTCGTACTACAATAACTATACCTACCTAACATACCTGCATATGTATATGTATGACTACACACAAATAAACAATGACTATATCGTATAGACACAGTAGATGTAAAGTTAAATGCAATCACTTGTAGCATTTGCTGATAAAAGGCATTAAGAATCCCTGCCGATTACATATGCATACATACATATGTACATATATACATACATACACAGTTACATCAAAGACTATACAATAAAAAGAAGCTGCATGAGCGACCAAAAAACCGGTTCTATGCCGGGCCTTATCGCTACACCCTACTGACAGAGGGAGCGCCCGATGCTTCGAGACAGCGCCGCACAGTGGGGCCTTCGGCCATTTCAGCATGCTAAATTAAAAAGCGAACAAGAGTTCAATAAACTTTTTTAGACTGATACAATTTTTAACTTTGAGTGCTATATATTCTAAATGAAAATTGTATTCAAAATTAAAATTTTGAAAGCTTTGGAAAATTTGCTATAAGATGGGTATATTTATTTTATCCAAAGGAATTTGTTCCTCATGTAGCATCTTGGTATTGTGTAGTCTTTGGCACTACGCACAGTTATGCATAAATGTCTATAGAAATATCGAAGGTGCCAAAGTATTTGCTTTTAGTTATTTAAATTTAATAAATCCACACAAAGTATATCTTTTTAATTTACAGTAATTTAAATCCTGACATTTTTTTATTACATATTTTTATTTTTTATTTTTGAGCAGGTTTTACTGCTCTGACACAATACGCTGAATATAATAATATACGCTGAATAATCTTCAAATTCATATCTTATGTTTTGTTTTTTCAACTGCCCTCTAATATCGAAATCCAATAAGGTAGCGTGTAGGTGTAAGGCGATATTTTACTGTTAGAGTTATCGGAAAACCTTATAAGATTATCTTTTGCTAGAACCCTTGAATGAATTGTGGACCTAAAACTATTTAAGAACCAAACCAATAAATTAACACAAATTATTTAAAACTTGCCGCTTGTTTGCTTTCTTAGAGCCGCTCGCATCAATTTACTTATTAAAACTTATGGAACCGTAACTAGAAAGGGTACCATTTACCGTTTTCTCTTTTTAGTTTCTGGGAAGCGAAGAGAGCATACTGGAATACCAACCAGATCGTCCGGAAGTTTCAACAATTGTGGACCTGAGCTCTCAGGGCTCTGGCCCGGAACCCAACCCAGGCCCACCTTCAACACGACCCACGGCCTTGGCCGATCTCATTCGCAGTCGAGACTTCGTAATAGACTTTCCTCGAGTTTTCGTCCTCGAATGTGGCAGCGTGGTGGGTGCTCGTGAAATGCTTTTCCCCAGCCGATTACCAGAAAGGTCGCAGAGTTCGTTGTCGCTCAGGCAGGCACGAGACTGGATGAGCCTGATGACCAACAAGCTGGAGGAGCAGCAGGGACTGCGGCGTTTGCGAAAGGATGAAATGCAGCAGGTGGCCAGCGAATCACAAACAACTCCATACTCTCTATCTTTATTTATCGATTATTTTTTTACCCGCAGCAACTTTTAAGCGCTCGGGAATCGGCCCGCCATCGTCGTTCACGCTCCGCAGATGGTCGCTATTCCACTGGATGCTTTGGCGGTCGACATCGACAGATTTCAGTTCAGGGAACTGGGCAAGTGCTACCTCAGCTTAAGCCGGATATCCCTCAGATTTCTCGATCGAGCTCTTCCCACTCCTTGCAACAGATAACTGATGCTTCTTACGCTCAGTCCAGTCAGCGGCAGCGGGAAACCTTCGATTTTGCCAGAACACGCCGTCGCTTTATGAGGCGCGAAAGCGATGAGATATCCTTGCGATCATTACCCAGGCGTGGGCGTATGATTGGCAATGGTGGGATGGCTCCACCTCCACCCCAGTCAAATCGTGAGAGAGAGGCCCGCGGAAACGGAGACTACATCACTATTCAGGTGAATGGGGAAGGTGTCAACCTCAATGAATGAACTGGGTTAGGGGTTGCCTAATTGTATTCTTTAAACTATTTGCTTTCTCACCACTGTATAAAATATATTGTATAGAATATTCAAGTAATAGAAACGGTTAATAAAGTGCTAATAGCGATAGCCAGTGATATCAAGTATGAAAACTCTAGTCGACTTTACGACAAGTGAGTTGATAAATTAGAGAGTCGTTGATTCCATACCCTATATGCTATATATACTATAAGCTGTATGCTTAGGTAAATTATGAAACGAAGCACTCTCCACTTAGCACTCTGCACACTTCTCTTGGCCTCACATACAAAACTTGGGGCGAATTCCATTAAGGATTTGCGCGTGCCTCCAACATGGGGACGCAGTCCCCCCCCCATGCTGCTGATCCCATACCAGTGATATGCTGTTGTTTCTTATGCGGACCAGACTGTGAGGCAGCAGCAGCGGCAAGACTCAGGGAACGGACAACAGACAACAGAAAACGGATTGTAGACAGACCCAATTCGACAGCTAAAGGGAGATCCACAATTCTGATCCCACCAAAAGCGAAGAGCAAGAGAAATAGAGCACAAGTTATGAGGAAGCCGAGCGGTTGAAGTTTGCCGCGGCCAACGACAGCTAATAAGAATTCATCATGTGTTCCACGAGCGAGAGGCAGAGGTAGTAACTCTCCCAGGTGGAGGGACTCAGACCAGCGTCCCCTGCACGCGCCGTAATTGCAACGCAACAGGAGGGCTAAAGATCACCAGGTCCGGGAGCAAACCAGAGCAGCCGCAGCACCACCGTCGTCGTCTTCTTCGTCATCATGGCCCCTCGATGTTTATAAACTTAAAGTCTGTAATCACATTAGGGCATGTGGACAGAGAGCTCCGGCTGGCCAAAGTGTTGCAGCTTTATCACCTGACGGAGCTTCGCTTCTCGGTCTCCGCATCGATTCCTCTCCTCCTTGCATATCCCACGATCGCGATCGATGACAGCACGTACGAGTTTGCCTCCCTCTCCCCACGCTTTCGGGGATCGAAAGGCAGGCATGCTGCGCTGCCGCCTCGCAGTCTTCGGCTAGCTTAAGGCACAAGGGGCGTGTCCGAGGTGGGCGTTACACTGCACATTCATGATAAAATTATTATATTGTTGGAGCTTGATGCCGCCGCTGTAAGGAAGCCGTGGGTAAGAAACAGAAATCAAAACAAAATAAGGAGGACGACATCTACATAAATATATCCCTTGGAGGTGTTGATGTCTATTAGTCGCAGGAATACGAGCATGTATTTTATTGCAGTAGTAAGAATGTTTGACACTCGCTTTCGAATCTTCACCGTAAAAGAGACTTTGGACTTTCGACTAAGAATACTTATTCCCTTCAACTTCGATTATTTATCGTGTTCGTCCAAGGATCAGGACGTTAGCCACCAGAAAATCTTTCCTGGTTTGGCTTGCGTCCCATAAATAAATAAACGCACGACAAAAACAATGCACCGTGATAATGTGGCAAGTAGGAGGCAATGTCTGTGAGGCGAAACGAATCGCAGATGCGGCAGATGTGGATCCGTTCCCGGTGTTCACTTCGTGCATGGTTCAGTCAGGTTATTTCACAATACTATATGATCGCCACTGCCGACGCTAATCTGCTGTAAATGAGTAACATGAACTGCTATTGACGATGCTTAGTCCTCACGATCCTCCATATGCTTGGTGGACCTTCACAATCGGAACTAATTGTCCAAACAATAAAATCATTCTACTCCACGTCCCTACGAAGTGTGAAGGTAAATCCAATCATAGAGTGAGCGTTCGCCAAATATATGTAGGCTCTAAGAAACAGTGAGAAGGAGCGAGACACAGTGGCAGAGGATTTTGAGTTTGGTCGTTCTCGATAGATGTGTAATTTATTTTGAGCTCTTTTGGCATTAAAATTATTGTGCAAATGGCAAACAGCCAAAAAAAGGTTCACTGATCACGTGACAAGATCGCCAAAAGGCAGAAGACAGCGCAAAAATGGCGATTCGATGCGCTGACTTGTTATGTTTTCCGATCAACCCTGACCTGACTGTCAGCCCTCAGCAGGGTGCCTACTAGAATCTGGGTGTGGTGTCAACTGTATGCCATTGCCATCTTGCTCTCTCTCTTTCAGTATTGGCGTGCGGTCATGCTGTCCTGCGGAATGGCTCGTACTATTACATCACGCAGTGAGCATATTTGTCATTACCATTGCACCGGGGAAGTAATGCTGAAATAGAAAGTACCTCGTACCGTATATGCGCTGCGGGGACAACGCATGACAACAATTTATAAATTCTGATCAATATCAATCCTTTTACATTCTCACACGCTTCTCGCCGATGCCACCATGAATTTCTTTTTTGTCTTTAGTCATGTTCCAGACACCAAATGGATGTTGCATGAGTTTTTTCTTTTAGGTTTCCTATTTTCGTATTTTTTTCCACATTATTTGCCTCTAGCCTTTAAACTGAAACCTTGCTCCAATTGCAACATCAAAAATCGATATCTTAACTTGCTTTTGAGTGCACTTAATGTTGGGTTGCCCCCTTGGACCTTGAATTGGCAGCTTGGTGGGTTTACTAAGCGCTTCATTTTGTGGAGGATCAACTTCGGCGAGCGGACAACCCAACGCCACCATCGATGGGGAGGCTGCCTGTGTTAGCCTTCAGGTCCTGGCTCATGAATATGTTGGATGGTTCCTCCGTCTTGTTTTTGTGAGTGATTCATAGGCCAGTGCTCTTCCCCAGGCAATCTTACTTGCTATTGCTTTTGCTGTTGATGGCGATCATGGCGATTGTTCGCTGATATGAATGTAAATGGGCGAGTATTGCGCTGATTTGTCGGCTTAACTACAAAGGTAAGTCTAACGGCAATTTTGCGGAGGTCTTTGTTATTCCACTGCTTGATCCGCGATCGTGATCGATCTTGATCTTGTAAATCAGTCCGTTAAGTCCGATCCATCTTTCCTACCATCAAATTTTTCCAGTTCATGTGAACTAAATTGTATCAATGAGAGTTTAAGGCGTTGTTATGGCGGCAGTAATTTCTGTATAGTGACTTTATTGTATTTTTCGTGAGTGATCGTGACACGATCCTTGTTCATTCACAAGTGAAAGAACAGCGCAGCCTAAGAACAAAGGTAACCCATAAATTGTCACAAAATCAAAAATCAACCAAAATATTATTTAGGAGCTGCCTAAGTCTTTTCCTGCTGGGTCTCTGGAATTCTGTTGAAATCAGAATATCCGATTATATAGATCAATGCGATCAGTGGACAAAAACAAGCTGGCGAAAAAAGACAAGAAAACGGCATGTTGTCAAACGTTCGAATGGCTCAGCCGCAGGCCGAGGTTAAGTCGCAGCTCCCAGCACCCGAATCCGACGAGGGAACAGAAGAGAGGAAGAGGGAGACTAAGAACGAGTCAAGGAATCAAGGCATCAAGACTTGACCGAAGCCAACGTGGGCGTTGCTGCATTTTGATTGAAATCAAACACAAAAGCAGATTACAATTTATTTATTTGGCCAAGCGTGTGAGAACAGCGAAAAGGTAAGAAGGCACCCTCGATGTTGGACGAAGTGTTCGTCCAATGCGCGTGTGCAGCGGATTATCCTTATGCACTTGTTACACATATTCGACCGCAGAGGCAGGAATCGGGAGAAGGCAACCGAAAGGCGACAAAAGCAACAACATTTAAAGAGGTTCAAGAGCAAGACCTCTTTGAGATAAACTCATCAAAGACATGTCGATCGGCAGACACGCCGCGGAGAGGCACTGATCCTGCTTGCCTGACCCAGGCCTAAGTCGAGTAAACGCCTACAGGCTCAAAAGTCATGTCATGTTGTGGCAAAAAGGATTTGCTCAGCCACTGACACAATTTCTTGCACCTCCTTTCTCTGCTGTACTCGTAGTTATTGGTGGAAGCAACCTGCTGTAGATCAAGATCGTCTCGTCTGATCCTTGTAGGCACAAAGCCCTGAGCCCGCTACAGTTTGGCAATATTTATTGGTTTTATTGGATTTACAGCTTAGGCTTAGAGCAATGCGCAATCTTTGATGCGAATCTACCATAAGGAAAAGAGCAAGAGATGGACAAGCCACCCCAATGACTTTTCATCCTGTCACCTACTTGGGCGTAACAAATTTAACTTGGTCATGGCGTATTACTTTGTCTCATGTTATTAGAAACTTCTCTCATATTTTTTCGTAGTCGCATTTTTCGGACATGTTCAAATTTTCGGTGATCGGGAGAGAAGAATTCCGGAAAAGATAAGCAAGGTGCTGGTTTTTCATTGAATAATGAAATGTGTAAAAAATCGTAATTCCTTACTGCTACAGAACTAATGATTTTGAGTAGTTTAGATTATGGTATTAACTTACAGATTTTATTCTGATTCTATTTAATAAAAGAAATTTAGACAGAATGTCTCTTTTCTGAACTCAAAAAAGAAATCCCATAATGGAAATCTCATTATAAATGGTACAGCAGAATTGCTATGGCTTCCGTTTCCTCGTTGTTGTTGTTTCTGGCAATCTTTGCTTGCAATTCATGATGGCTGCCGTATTGAGAAGAAAATTAGCGTTTGCAACCCCGAATGGAAAGTGTCGTACTACATGGAACGACTTTGGCAGGAGCTCGGTCTCGGTCACACCAAGCGTTTATAACTGCCTAAAGCAAACATCCACCGAGCAGATCAAAATAAGCGTAAAAATAATCCATCTTTCTGCTAAGCAAGCTGCAGGCCGCTGTGGTGCCGTCGACTTCTGTCCTGACACACGGCCCGGCCCGGCGCGGCATCGGCCTCCCCTTACCACCGCCAGTTTCCGTCATCAGGATCAGGGTAGGCAGCTGCCAGGGAGACCAAAGCAGGAAAAAAAAGTGTCAAAAAATGTTTCGTTTTAGATATGTTGAAAAATAATGCTCCCGTCTTTGTCCTTTTTCCATGATTTCTGCACGCTTCACGCCAATTTGTGCGCCTATCAGGCTAGGTGACGGCAGTGATGATGGTGGTGGTATACGCAGTCCAGTCCCCCTTACGTTTATGCCGCACCCAGAACTGAACGAGTATGCTGTACGCGTTTTCCAATCGCTATCAGCTTCGACTACTATGTACATCCTTTCGCATATTGTTCCCATTTGATCCTCCCTAGAGTGGAACTCTGGGCATGGGAATGAATCACTTTCAATGGCGCGAAATATAATTCATTTAAATGATTGGTTTGTTTGTAAAGACTTATGGTAGTGAGGGGGAAAAGGGAGAGCTGAGCAATGGTAGCCATGGAAATTGGGTTTCCCAATCGCTCGCAGAGTTTAGTTTGTTTCAACGCTACAACTGATGTTTGCAAAGAACCTACATATGTGTGTACATTCCATATGTATATGGTTGATGAGGAAGTGTTTTATGTATGAACATCTTATAATAGCCTTTAGTTGTGGGTGAAATAGCTGCAATACCTGAAAGATCGCTTCAGCGGAAAACTGAGGCTGAACGTCAGCCGCGGCATGGCGTATCCAATGTAAGAGCTTTTCGAAATTCAGCCATCTTTGAAAATGGTAGAAATTATAAGCAATTGACATAATAACAAACGCTGGTCTCACTCTTTGTGTTCTGATAAAGAAAGAGCGAACTCAGACTGTACTGTAAACGAAACCACTCGAAAGTACTCGTGCTCAGGAGAGAGAGAGGGAGAGCACAATACAATTACAAATGTCAGTTGGCGGGACGGCGAAAGATCAAAGCGAGGCATAAAAGCTGCGCACCAAAGAAATAAGAGAAAATATCGTTGCCAGCGTGCAACAATGGCACTAAAGATAAAAATAATAAAATATAAGCCAAGGAAAAATACTGTACAGAAAAATGGCACAGACACAGCGGCAACAAGCAGCAGCGCAACACCAACTTCAACTCCACTCGACTCGACAACTTTCCCAAGCAATATGCAAATATATCATAGCCGGCTAGTTACCCTGATGGATGGTACATCCAAATGGTTCATGAGTCATCTGCAGTGGTGGCCGCACACTCGATACCAAGATACCACGGATACCACGATGCCACAAACTGAGAGCAGGTACGACACCAAAGTTACGGTTTGATCACAAGTTGAGCGTAAAATATGTTAAAGATCATCGGGTGTCAGTGACTGTGTGTGCCGGAAAATAAGCGTAAAATGATCAAAGACTCTTCTCGCGCTATGCCAAGTCCACAATCGTTCTCTACCATTCTTCGCTCCGTCCACAGAACACAGAGCTTTATTCTTCTGTCTTTTCTGTCTCCCCTGCCGCTATGGTATACTGCACGTATACTTCCTACGTGCGCGCATTTTGCAAAATAACATTCAATTTGTGCAACCTGATCAAGCAATTGCATCAAACGCTGGCTCAGCGATGTTCAATGATCGATGATCACCCAAAAGCAGGCTTTAATAAATAATCAAAGTACTCGATTGTAATCACATTTTGCGATCCATATTTCGAGAACCCTTAGCTTATTCGCTTGGCGTTTGTGCATATTTTTACGCTTGCTTAAAGCTGCCGAGTGCTGAGCTCAAAGAAGATCACCGACGGCTCGGATCCCCTCCCCGTCTCCAGCTCTATCAGCGATGTAAATTATATGTTGCCCACCATGATGATTTCTACAATTGCTGGCCAGCATCGGCAGCAATAACAACAATTTGTAGTCGGTGCAGACAAGCTGGCTGCCGCTGCCCAGTCAGTTCAATTGGCCCAAGCCGGCAAACTAAATCGCAGCACAGCTGCATTACCATTATTCACTCGTTCCTCCACAGCTTCAGCTTCGGCATTGGGTCTCCGTGTCTGGTTTCTGGTCTTCTCCCGGACGAAGGGGTTTCTTATTGAATTATAATGTTATTTGGTGGTCGTTGCCGTCACGTCACCGCTACCACTGCCACTGCCTCGTCTCCATCTGCGTCATCGATTCCGAATTGCAGACTTTGTGGAAGCAAAGATCGCCTAAAGGGTCCTCCGTCCCCAACGAATCGATGGTTAAAGCTCGTTTCAGTGGGTATTAAGACATTTGGGATGTTATCCTGAGAGTAATCCTTTAAATACCTGCATCATTCGATCTTTTACTGCCGTTTGATTTTCTATAGCTAACCCACTTGAGTTTAAACCACCTGCTGAACTACGTATCACACGTCACCAAAGAATGCTACGGGTCTAATTTAAAAGTTCGCCTGCGTAACTCAAACAACAGGCTTATCAAATTTTGAACGCGAATTGAACGAAATTCATGCGTAATTGCCCTGGAGCGGTGCAGAAAAGAAATATACGTAAACAGGCAGGCAGACAGGAACAGCAAAAGGGCACCCTCGGATATGAAGACTAAGAGGAACCAACCGCATCCAAATGTTGTGTGAACTGATAGTCAGCCCTCGCACAGACCGAAAGAGATACGCTGCTCTAAATTTGCGTTAAGTAACGGAATTTAAAGCGTTCCTTATCAGATTGGTTTTGATGTTTTATCAACGCTGGCTTCCATCGGCCGCTTCTCGCATGGAGCATGAGCACATGCACGAATATCGTTCATCTCCTCGCCCCTCGCACTTCCTACACACTTGTTGCTGGGTTGCGCCATTTAATACGTTAATCATTTTTAATGAATATATGATAAGTTTTTGTTGGCGTGTGGTTCGAAACAAGCGCATGAGTACGTGAAAAATTAGCGGAAAATTTCCACGGCGGCAACACTTGAAAATGTATTATTTTCGGTTGCTGATGTTTGTTTTGGTGCAAATCATTGAATCGACGTGACGTTGGATAACGGTAGCAATTAACAGTTGCAATTTAGATTGGAGACAAACAATTTTGAAAAATATTATGTTGCCAAGTGGTCAGAATAATCCGCACAAGGTGCGTTAGTATTGCTGTGGATTGAGGTCTAAAATAATTTTCATGCCTCGAATTCATTATCCGCCAATTGCAATTGCTCATCATGTCGTCCATCAACACGATCTCTGATCATCAATCAAAATGCAGCATCGCGAGACAAAGCGACCACAAAGTGAACCCAGCTACCGGAGCTACACTCTCAGTCAAGTTGGCCGGCCACACAGGAAGTTGGCTTTGAGGAGAAGAAGAAATGAAATTCGCATGCTACCGGCACTAAAACTGATGGTGAGTGAGGGCTGGGCTGACTATCGAAAACGCATAAATCACGATCATTTTCAGTCGGGAGGGCCTTTCAACAGCTTTGTCAAATGTGCCGCATCGGAACTCACACTCGGGCATGCCTCTCAGCTCTCGACTTGCCACACAAATTTAATTTTTATAAAAATATCCAAGTTGGTGGGCTCGGACAGGACAAACGAAGCCGCAGGCTACTGTATGGCAGTTCAATAACAAAGTGCAACTGCCCCAGGCAGGAGAGAACTCCCCAGGACGAGCTATGCTGGGCGATCAATTATGATTGTCACAGTTGACACACATTATCGCCCTCGTAGTGACATATAGTAGTGTGCTAGAAAGAGAGCTAGGGAACCTGTCGTCGTGGCAGGATTCTTCTTATTCTTCAGTATCCCAAGACCCAAGCGATATGAACTAATTGATGTTTTCATTTGGGCACTCGGACGACCCAGAGAACGTATTCATTCTAGGTGGTAAGTGCGACGCCCGCTGTGCACACATAATTGAGTGCGACGGGAAAGGGAAGGCCTATCCTAAGGATCGGCTACCTACACCTACACCACCACCCAGGACTTCGATCGGTCGTAACTAGTCCATGAGGAGATGCTAAACCATACGAGTATGTAGTTTCCTTTCCTCTTCCCTACCGCATTTTGTCAATGGCTTTGTTAACTCCCGTGTGCTCTCCTGCTCCTCTCCAGTTTCGGGTCCTCTCATCTTTGACCAGGCCCACAACTTGGCGGCATCTTGAAAGTACCCTTCGATTTGACGTTGGTGGTCGCTCCTTGGATTCTCTGCTCATATTTTGCGCATCTCCTTTGTCAATTGCTCTATTTTTCTGCTATGTGTGTGGGTCCCTTAAACAATAGACAATTCCTAAATTATATTCGTATTATCGAATACGCAGTGCGTGCTTGTCGTTTTATTATCTAATTGTTTAATTGTCAGATCATGAGTCGGCTTGTTGTCTGGATATGTCAAGAGAGCGCCTTTATCCTGGATAGGCCATCGTCCATGACTGAGAAATGTTTACTTTACAAGGCATATTTCAGCTTCAGGCCGATCCTTGTGTTAGTTCATTGTTCCCCTGTCAGTTTAGGGGACATTTTGTGTTCGATTTTGAAGGATTAGTTGATTGTGGTTCTGTCCAAGCCCAGGCGACATATACATGTACATGACCGTAACAGAGCATGTGTGTGGTCCAAGAACCTGGACAATGCCATTAGTTTAATTAAGTGTGAGAAGATTGTCTCTAGCGAAGAGATTTTTCTGATGGGATACAAATCCCATTTCAATTACATTAAAATACTGGGAGCTGTTAAGGCTGGTTATGGATTTTCCCAAAAATTGTTGACACTACATATCTCCATCTAAATGATGCACACCAATGCCAAAATGTCAAAGCTAACAGTCGCCCTAAACGAAACTTTTTTAATGGGCAGAGGTGCCCATTCCATTGCCTTTCCCATTAGTTTCGATAATAAAAACACAAATGCTAATTTCTCCAGTTTAGTTTTAAAATTTATTGCTTTGATTTTCGCTTTTTTGCTTAAATTTACTAGGTATTCAAAATATTTATTAACAGTCTTAGGGTCTTTAAATAAGATAATGCTACTAGTAGATTAGAAGTACGATAAAATAATAAAACGTTATTTTTTATTTGTTTAGCCAGCGAATATCGAATCAAATTTCCAATTCCGTAGAGCCAGCAGTCTTGGCAATCTTGTCCTAGAAGCCAAAGTAGGGGTAGGCTGAAGCAGTTGGTACCATGGAGCTCTTCTGCTCCACCTGATGGTGGTAGCCGCCAATATGGTTGGTGGTGGAGCCAGTAGAGGGGAAGAAAGAGCTAGCAAAGTTGTAGCTGTCCCACGAGGAGGGGTGATGAGAACCAGAAGCGGCGGCGGAGGCGAACTGTGAACGGAGCTGCTCAGCGGATGTGGCAGTAGCTGGGGGCATTGCGTAGGCTCCGGCGGATCCAGTTGGAGGATATGCAGCAGTTGCAGATCCCATGGAGTAGGCGGAGTTCATAAAATCGTTGCCAGTGACTGGATGCTGAGCCTGCGACTGAACGGGACTGTGGGCTGCGGAACTACTGCCAGTGCTGCTGGCTGGTGACATGGAAGCAACCGAGCCCCCATAGGCAGCATGTGTCTCATAGGCCGCTCCCGATGCGGGCCACGCCTGGGAACTGTACAAGCTCATGCCCATGTTGGGAGCTGTGGCAGAGGAAGCTGAAGCTGTAGCTCCATATGAAGTGGCTGTGGATGGGAAACTGGGCACCTGCTGAGTGTTCAGTTGCTTGCGTAGACGAGCACGACGGTTGGAGAACCAGACCTGGACACGGGCCTCAGTCAGACCGGTGCTCTGGGCAAGCTCCTCCCGTGTATAGACATCTGGGTACTGGGTGCGAGCGAATATGCGCTCGAGGGCATCGATCTGGTCATTGGAGAAAGTGGTACGCGAGCGTCTTTGCTTCCTCTTCAGCTGCACACTGGGTTCGGTGTCATCCTCACTCTCATCCTCGCTACCCGCCGAGGCAGCACCACCTCCGAGGATGCCATCAATGCTGTGTGAGGCTCCTGAACCAGAGGTTGCACGGAGCAAGCGCGAGATGGAGCTAACCGAGGGGGCATTCTGCTTGTCACAGATTCCGGCCTCAATCAGCTTGGCGCGAATTTCCCAACTGAAGATGCCAGGCTGCGATTGCTTCAGCTCCTCGATCCTGGTCTCAATGTCGGGTGTGGCCACACGAGGTTTGCTGCCACCGATTACACCAGGGCGAATGGAACCGGTCTCTTGGAAGCGATTGAGGATCTTGGAGACACAGCCATGGGAAACACGCAACTGGCGAGAGATGACGCAAGGACGGACACCAGCTGCTGCCATCTCGACGATTTGGCGACGAATATGATTTGGCAATGGACGACCGTTGATGAACACGCCTCCAAGCTGATTAACACGACCTTGTCCTAAAAGTAAACGAAAAAGAAGGGATGATTAGTACTCGCATCAAGACCAAAGAGTTCTTTTCAATTCCAGATAATCCATCTTCTTCAATCGTATTGAACATCTACAAGCAGCATTTGTTCTATGTACATTTCATGTGTGTGGCCGGACCGTTATCCTATGCTTAGGTGGATCTGTCAATTAACTTTTCTTCTGCGCTCGATTGAGCAGCAATAAGTAATCTATTCAGATAACTGCACTGCCCACTTGAATGCATTGCATTCGAAAATGCACTAAGTAGGATCAGCTCAAGGATCAATTCGCACGATCTTTTGTTGGGCTGAGCTACAAACGATTCGTTGGCCATTTGTAAACATAACAAAACGCAAATTGCCAATTTGCGTAGGTCTTTTCCAACAGAAGAAAAGAAAGCGCTGATCAGTGAGGCAGTGGGGGAGACCGAAAGACTCAAACTGCCGATCAGGAGGGAGAATGATGCGGCACAGCTGCATCCCATGTTGGCCCATGCAATCAAATCAAACTAATAATCCATAAGCGCTGCGGACACCCAGCTGTGCAAGCTAATATAAGTATATAAAGGCCAGCCAGGCCCCAAAAACACAACAACGGCCAACAACCAAAAAGAGAAATAAAGCCCCGGTCGCAGTCGCAGTCGCTGTCCATGTCCAGGTCTGGGTCGGAGTCTGTTGTTTGGGGCGCTGACGGTACTGGTACGTGATACACAAGACCCAAAGCATAAGCGCGAACCCCAGCTCAGATGCAGACACTGAGCCAAGATCAAAGCGCAAGAGCCGACAGAGGCAGAGACGAGTAAAGTCCAGAGCTGGCCAGACGACCGCGCCAAAAAGTCTGCAAAGTCTGCGCTGGAAGCTGGGATGCTGACCGGCCTGCAAGTCCAGTCCCCGATCACAATCAATAAGTCAAAAAGCTGATCATGCTGCCGACCGGGTAATGATCTCTCGTTTTGAAAACAGCGGGCGAAAGCGCTGCCCCAAATGATGAGCCAGCACTTTTCAATGTCCGACTCTGACGTTTTGTACTCGTAATTGTGGTAATTGGTAATAGGGCAGTGCGTAGAATCTGTGATCTGCTATCAGTGCTTACCTTGGAAGGGATATCCAGCAAAGTAAGGAGTCATGTTGAGAGCCGATACAGCCATATCTTGCAGTAGTCCGTTGTTTTGGCTCGGAGAAAATATCAACAACACTTGTCTTTTACTTTTTGTTTTTAGCAAACAGTCTTCAATGTTCACAATCACTAGGAAATATACAAAGCAAGAATTTTCTCAAAGATAATTTTAACTTTTGATTTGTTGCTCATGCGAATGCGCAATGCTCAGTGATGCTGCTCGTTTGCTTGACACCTCGAAACTGATTTTGAAATGGTCAGCCACCAAGACTAAAACGAATTCGTGAGATTCTCAGACCAGTCCCAAGGAAACAAGTTTTTGGTCGGACAAAAACCCAAGCGAGCGAGGGTGGAAGTGCAAGCAGCAAGCAGCAGTCGGAGTGAGAACGAGAGGTAACGATCACCAGAGAGCGTGGCTGGTGCTAGAGGAGAGCAAAGCAGTAGCTCTGTTTGCTACACTGTGTTAGAGGAGCTAAGCAAAACAAGAAACTAGAAAGAGAGAACCACACAAATTTTCATAGTATGGCTGCAATTCCGTTTAGCTCCGCCTCCGGGAAAAAAACTGAATTTTGTTTTGTTTCATTTTCTCTCGTGAGCTGATTTTTGGATAAGCCCTTAGTGGGCTTAGAGCTGGTACTGTATTGTGATTATTTATTTTATTTGCTCTTGATTTGGAGTTATGTATGCGAATTTCTGTGAATTCCTAGAGCTCTTTTTCTAAGGTTTTCAGTTTAGCAACACACACTTTATGTTTCCGGTTGGAGGTTAGTGAAATGCTACAGCTTGAGTTGATTGCGCACGTCGTAATCATATTATGTACAGGATTTCCGTTTACTTTCCGTTTAAAGATGTATTGTAAAAATATACTATTTCGCAACAGAAAAAATTCCCCCATCGAGGAATCCTTAGAAAAGAAAACACTTTTTCTCAATCGAAATGCTTTGAATGATTGAAAGAAGAATAACAGAATGCGAAAAAGGTTACTAAGCCCTCTCGAAGAGGAGTGGGAGCAATATGCACGGGTACCCGTCCACATTCAACAGTCTGTCCGACGTCACAGGGAGTTCTTAGCGTCTCTCCCCTTTACTACTAGAATGGAATTTTATTTGCATTTCTCTCAGTCTGGACAACGCCTTCAGGAATGCCTTGGCCTTGGGCTAAAAGGGGACCAGCTTGGGGTCTCATATACTTAGATGTTCCCGGCTTGGTCCATATTAATATTTTCTGTACCAGCCAGCAAGCGAATATGTTCGTAAAGTAAGTTCGTTGGCTTCAGCTGATATGGCATAGCTCTCATAAATCTCGTATAACTCTCGTATTTCGGTAAAAACAGTTACCATAACCCCGGCATGCTCCATTAAATTTTCTCTTGTACACAACGAAGATGTGATTCAATTACTGAAGTCAGCCAACAGGCATTGCTGTTGTTTGCTTTTATTAATTAGAATGAACCCGATACCCAAAACAGCAGAAAACATTAATATTCATGGGAAAAAGAGACCCGGAAAGGCTACTAATATGTGTGGACGAGTGGGAAGCTGACAAAAAGATTTTCGCACGAGCAAAAAGGAAAAAAAAAACTTCATTTCCGAGTTCATGACTTTTGGGTAATTTGCTGTTTGCTCCATCTGTGCTCCGAGTACTCAGCTATGAGCTCTCCACTCTAGTGTCGGTCGAAATCAAAGAACTTTCTGACATGTTGCGTATACGCCGCGTGTGCGAGCATTGAAAATTATGCGGCATCATTTCCAAGGCAAGGCTGGAGACATGAACAATATGAACAAACTGGTTGCCAGTGCTGAGATGGAGGCGTACGAGTGTGTATCTGTGAGATAAATTTCGCGTGGGTGCGACACCGACGACGACACGAACACAGACACAGACACCGACACTCGTGTTGAATGTGTGCCATTTGGCAATAATTGTAAGGCTATTGTTTGGTTGGCCGCCACGCTCTGTGTGTGGCTTCGCCTCGAGGCAATCGCTCAAATCTTATGACAACTCCAACTGCTACTGTGCGATTCGCAAAAATACCGCTGCCGCTACCAATATCGATACTGATGCAGATACAGATTGTTTGTCTGCGGCAGTGATGTATCTATATCCATTGAACTTTCGAATGTCTGTCTCTCTTTCTTGACTACCGCTTCTCCTTTATTCACCCTATTTGCACCCTTGCCTTTCAATTCATATTATTAGAAAAAATAAAAAGCCAACTATACTTCAGCTTATACATACTTAGTAGAAAAATACATTTCATTCGTTGAATGTGGCATTTTTGTGGGAATTTTTTAATATTTTTACTAGAGAGACAAGGAAACGAGGAATGGAAGCCATGTTTTGGCAAAGCTGTCGGCTGGCACATTGCTCGAGTATCCGTTCAAGTCGGAAAATTCATTTGTAAAAACGAAACCCTACAACCCTTCCAAGGCCATTGGAATTGACTTGAGTGATGCTTTTAAAATGCTGTGGAATTCGATTTCTTCATGTATTAAAAAATGCGAGCCGACGGCCTGTGACAAGCGATTGAGAAGCCTGCTCTACTCCCTAGAAATGTTGTGGCCAGAAGCAATTTTTCAAAACGTCGTATATTAGTAAGTAATGAAGATCCCTCCAAAATGCTGGGCTAATGATTCTTAAAGCGCTCCCAATAAATTCCGCTGAAAAATTACCACTAACGCCCATATGTCAGCTTAAACGAAAGCCTCTCTACGGTTCCCCTCTATCCGTCGCGTCGGTAACAGCAACAGCTGTGGGGCAGAGGCGACTGTGGACGCTGAAACAAGAAAACTAAATTAAAACTCAACCGCAACTGTTTACACAGCAAATGTTACCACGAACGGGCGGCTCACCAAAGCCTCAAACTGAGGCTGAAACTGAAATCCCTGAAATGAAATAAAGGAGAAAGATGATTAATTAGGGCGGCTATTTGCCAGAGGAGGAGATCCGGCAAACAGTTGCCGGATCGGACAGTTGGTCCGAGAGGTGAGAAGAGTAATATGTACAAATATATCACTCCTTCGGAACGGTTAAAAACGAATTAATAATGTGTGATCGGATGACGCCCTCAAAATGTGGAATGCCAGTTGGTCAGCTTAACGAAAAGAGAATCATCTAACTGTAGAGGAATCCTGGGGATGTTGTAGCCAATCAGGAGTGTTGTAGAGGCGGGCACGACTATCGCCAGGATGATATGGCTAAAGGATGTCTCATATACCGAGCATAAGGATCGCTTGACTTTTGGATGGGTAACAAAGAATTCCATTATGTGCATGATCTGTGGTTTCCCTTTCAACTCTGCTCCGTTTTGAGGCGCTTTGTCGGCAAAAGATTGTAGAGGGAGGAGGGGAGTGAAGTGAGTCAATGACGTAGAGGGAGGACACCCAAGCCGCTGCCTGGCGAGGACCGCCACCACCGAAGTGTGAATTCTAACAGCCCGCGTCGGCGTTGCCGTCGTAAATAAAACATTTGAGCTCAAGTCACAGTCGCTGAAATGTGGCGGATTCTTTGAAAACAAAGAGGGAAAGGCAGAGGAACGATGAGTCCATCCGATGATCAGCATGAAGATGGTGATGATGATGAACCTTAATTGCACTTCGATTCGGCGTAGCGCCTTCGTTTATCGCGTTCCTGTTAATTTTGAGCTGATCCTTGATTAACACTCCGCTCGCCTTCTGATAGGGACATGCTTGCAATCCACTCCTTTGCTACAATTCCTCACCGAAGCGTCCCTGAACATCGTGCGGTGTGTGGCGTCAAGCCATAAATTTCGTTTAGCACCTGCGCGTCCGCGAGAGGTGTGATGTCAATGATTATAATTATAACGCCTGTGGATATGATTTAATAAAAGGGTTTCGCCGACTATTTTGTACCCGCACAGAATCGATCGTCATGAACTTGCCGATAGTTTCAGCCTGAGTTCTGAATGAAAATATAAGGGGCTTTTCCTCCGAGATACGCACCACAGAAGGACGCCAAATGGAGATGGCACCAAACAAACCCTGAGGAGGTTATATTCCTATGCTAATTTGATCTTAGCCCATCCCAGCTGGCATCAAAGAGAAATATGCATTTTCGATCCACTACAATTCCATCTTTCATCATCCGTGCCGATATAATTCATATAGTTATCAGATTTGATTAAAACTAATTTGACATTGAAAAATAGGAAATTTTTGAAAATAAATGCTCCGAGAAATCATAGACGAAATAATCAGGAAACGCAATCAATCCTTTTCGTACGATGCAGATGATGATGCAAAGCAGCTCAGGGGAATAAGTACTATTCGAGCAACAAATACATAAATAATCTTCATAAGTAGAAATCTCCTTCTCTGTTCGGTGGCCACCGAACCCGTCCTCGTACGCGCCGCTTTCCCGATTTGATTTATTTTCCATAGAAAATATAAATGCATTAGAAATGGATTTTAGTTCTGCGTAGAGGCCCCCACCGCACTCAAAAAATTATCGCCAGCCAATGCCATGTGAAAATAAGAAAATAAATAATTATTGAAAGGTTAAACACCCATACAGAGATCCCAGGGAAGTCCGCATGAAACTCCGTATGCTGGCTTCTACTTCTAATTAAAGACGCATTTCTTGGCTTCCATATACAGGTATTTTCTATTTCCATTTCAAACTCTAGCTCGACCTCGAACCCGTTTTCCACTTTTGTTCCAGCTGCAGGCCCAAATCGATTTGCTACAATTTCAATTTTCGTTGATTTCCCAAAAAGTGACAATTGGCCAGCGTGATTTTCAATTATTCTCAGGTAAATCGATCCGTCAGTCGGCACATGTCAAAGCTTGGAGTTACTTGAGCTCCCAAGCTGCGTCAGTCATAATTGTGGCATCAAGTCCAGTTCCCGTTAAGCCAAACGGCAAGTCTCGTGCCGACTTTTCCAAAACAAATTGCAGCGGCTTTTTGTGGATCGTTTCTTCACACTGAGTGTGGAGTGTGAACAATTGAGCTGCATGTTATCTTCAGTTGATTTAATTAGATTTTGATTTGCTGCGGCATTTTTCGCATCTAATTGAAGTTAAGTTTACAGAATCAAAAAAATTATTATTGAGCTGGTTTTGAAGGTGCCCATGCCCAGCCGCCGATCAGATAAGACCTTTAGCATGAGCGACCACAAAACCGGTTCTATGGCGAGCCTTATCGCTACGTCCCATAGACAGAGGGAACGCTCGGGGTTTCATTCTCTTTTCGGCGATGCTTCGTCTCTCACCGCGAACCCGCTGCCCAACGGCTTCGTCTGCGCATGCATGTGAATGACTTTCGCACAGTGGGGCCTTTGCCTATATCGGCTGGCTAAATTAATAAGCGAACAAGAGTCCAATAAACTTTTTCACACTGTTACAATTTTTAACTTTGAGTGCTACATCTCCTAAAATAAAATAACATATATTCAAAATTACATTTTTAAAAGCTTTGGCAATTCGCTACAAGATGTGTATATTCACTTTATCCAAAGGCATTTGTTCCTCATGCAACATCTTGGTATTTTATAGTCTTTGATATTATGCATTGTAATTTTTTGAAATCGTGAAATCGTATGTATGTAAATATATAAGAATATTTCAATATTTATTCAATAGACTTGAAATATTTCAACATCTTTAGTGGGCGTCGAAAATCAATTTGCAGTAAGCAACTAATCGTCATTAGGTTAATTAACACATCAGACATCACCATCATCGTTATTGTTATTGTAGCTTTATGATAATTCGCCATTTCGGATATAAGCCACAAAGATTTCAACTCTCTGGTTCCACCTTGACGCGACTAATTCAATTAGCATAATTTGGCAACACCTTTTTTGGGCATTGAGGCGGCACCGCCTACCAGCAGATGCGTATCTTCTGGATTGCGCGTAGATACTCTTATTTCGGTTTGTTCGTTTAGGCTAAAAAGCGCTGCTAAAGCGATTGGAAACGCCAGTGCAGGATGTAGACATCCAGAAGTTGACTAAGTTAGCGTGTCAAATCGATCATTGGCACAGTTTGACAAGTCTATTTGACTGGACAACTAAGGGAATCCGGAAACAAAACGAAGCAAAACAAAGGCAAGCGAAGCCTTGGACCTCCGACAGTTATATCCAGCCATGTCCAGACGAAGAGTCGCCGGCGGAGAGCAAAGCGTAACACTTACGATTTGTAATGGCCTCTAATCATGCGACAAAAAGAAGAAGACTGGAATGTGTACAGGTCTCCGGGATTCAGGACCTTTAGGACCTACCGCCGTTCCCAGGTAGCTAACGCAACTGAAACGTCTTTCCGAGTTGTCAGTCTGCGGTTCGAGTGTTAATGGTTTGTTAGTACTTGGCGGTGTCCTTGCTCCTGCTCCTATTCGGTCATTGGGACGACACAGCAAACACGATTTCCCGCCCACATGATACCCCTTCGCCACCCGTCAGCTTTACCGCAATTATGACGTCTGTGGTCGTTGTGTGTCACCTATTTATTTATCTCTCAAAGCTGCATGCGATTTTCGCCGGAAATCGACAGTGTTCGGTCAAACATCTTTGATTTAAGATGCACTGTTTAAAAACGCATTCGGCAGCCTGTAAGCAAGTTTACTGCCGAGTCCAAGTGATAAACGCCAAAAAAAAAATTCCAAACAAGAAATAAAACACAAGCTCGTCTCATAAATCTGTGAAAATCTGGGCAGCCTCGCTCCATCGATTGGCGGTTGCATGTTTAGCAAATTACTCAACAGCTGTGCTGGGGAGATCTTAGGTGCAAGAACGAGGGACCAGAGGGATTGGCTGTTAAATAAATTATAACGAACCGCCCGTCTTGAGACGATAAGCGGAGGGGGCACGCACTGCTGCAAACAAATTGCTCACTGCCAGGCCAGGCACTTCCAGAGTCTGTTGCTGAGCTCGCCAGTCCATGTGGGAGACGACACGCAGTCTGCAGATTCTTCTGACCCGGCGTTGGGACTATAAGGAGGAGGGTGGAAGTCAAGATCACGGATTGGTAGGCATGGAGTTCGCAGAGAGTGCTTGCATACGAGTATGTCAGCAGCTCGCTCAAAGCAAATGCCGCTGGTAGTTGGTTTCCCTTTTCGGCTGAATTTTTACTTTATGTTATTGATGCGAAAGATATATCAAATGCACTGGGAGGAATGGAAAAAGCACTGAATCCCAGATGAGTCTTTATATTATATTTCCCTATTAATCAGTAAATCCATATTTTTTTTCTGAAGTGATCCTAATGAGCAGCTTGTTCCGCGTTGTCACTTGTCATAATCTGTTCAAGCTGTGTTCAGTTGCAAGTTTGTGGAAAACATTGCTCACCCATATGAAGATTCGAAATTTCGGTGAAGGCTGCACTTCAAAATTTTTCGTGAGCATTTAAAAAACGAAAATGTTGTGAAAAAAGAGACAAAATGAGTTACGGATTTGCAATCGCTTAACTTGAGTGCCAATCTGAGTCGGCACCTAACTTCAGTCATATAAACAAATGAACATATGTAAAATCCATGCTCGGAACGACATCTTGTGGCTGACGCTGACGCTGATGCTGATGTGTTTTACGACTTGACACAGAGTTTCAGAGGACTGCTGGCATGGGACGGACATGGAGATGGTGTCTGAGGTGTCGGTGTCTTGCAGTGACTGGACAAAGTGGCCGACAAAAGTCGGTCGGTGATCCGTGCGCTCCGAGAGTGGCGGTTGGCGGTCTTCGAGTTCGGAGCTGACCGAAATGGCTTTGAAGCGCACATTTGCCAAAGTGATCGTAAAAATGCCAAGCCAAATACCTTGGGCACGTCAAGCGCAGCAATTAAAATTGAACTTTTATGTTACAATGACATATAGCCCAGTCCCGAGTTGGCCCACGGTGGAGCGCCTTAGCTTTCAAATGAGATGCTGATGGGTGGCGACGATGTGGGGAGTGAGCCGGAGTGGAGCGGAGTTGAGTGAAAAGGCCATGCGTGTGAACAGGCAAGATCAAAAGCTCAAGCCGCACCAACGCACTTGCAACTGAACTGAGAACAGGACGCAAACACAGTTGGAGAGAGCGAGAGAGAAGTCCAAAGTCTTATTTTTTGACCGGACAATGCAAATGCCCAGGCGCAGACTGAGCCCCGGGCCCCGTGCAGTTTTGTTTCAAAATTTAATTGCAAATAAATTGAGTTTTTGGTACTTCATTTAAGCGAAACACGCTAAACTTTCCTACTCTGGCGGATCCATCAAAGACGCAAGAGGATGTCTCTTTTGCTCCTCGACCCTCCCAGATGGTTTTTACGATTCTGACTGCATTCAAAAGAAACAACAAACATGCACACTCGAATGTAACGGAATTACCAAATGAAATTAAAAATTTTTCCTAACCATCTGCGGCTATACATTTTCAATCAAAAGTCTCTCTGCAGCACAAGATGGTTAAAACCTTTCAAATGACCACAGGCCAGATCTTCCTTTTTGCATTCCTAGAACATGCAATCCTTTATTGCCATCCTTTACAATCTATCAATAAATGCTTATCCGTTAGTCCCATATTATAATGAAGTTCCAAAAAATGATCCATCAAAAATCCGTTGGAAAACTGTCAACAGATGAGCAAGAAGCCCAAAGTGTTCAAATGCAGCAGTAGCTAAGGACATGTTGACCAAACGGAAGGCAAAACAAACCGTTTGGCAAACCAACAAATATTGAACAATCACATATGACAGATCGCTCGCCCATCTGGACTAGGCTTAGGAAGTGCACAAGTGAAAACTGGGCACACACACCCTGAAACACTTAGTTCAATTCAGTGGTCAGACAGTTTTCACTCCTTCATGCTAAATTTGCAAGGCAAACAAACGCTGTCGTTGGTCCCGCCGGGCCAGGCATGACACACCAGCGTGGACGAAGGTGTCACATCGGCGGGGGGCTTGGATGGATGGTAGCACAGCAAGCGTGAGGATCTGGACAAGGACATTTAGCTACTCGTTTGGGATTCAGTAGTCAGACAATTCCTGATGTAGTCGATCCCGGGTCCCACTCAAAGTTAGAGTTCCATTCTGGGAAGCCCTCACTATTCAAAGATGCTGAAGCACTCCCGTTCCCCGGTCTAAGGAGTTCACACTCCGATCCAGTTATGAGAGAGGTTTATGGTCTCGGGAGTTTGAATGAATTAAACTGTACTCACATGTTGCCTTTTACTGCCTCCTTAAATGATCTACAAAACA